CAGTCCTCACACCTCTTTCAGGGATAGATACTATTATTTCCCCCTTCTAGACGGGAAGCTGAGGGCCACAGGGGTGAGTCGCCATCCCCTGGAGGTTTGTGAAGAGCACTCAACAGCGGGTGAGATGCTCAGCACGTAGTAAGTGTTCAGCAAACAGTGTGTATCAGGCTGAGGCTGAGATCCCACCTCTGGCCTGGGCTCCCCGTGTCTTGGAAGTGTCCCCGATGGGTCCCCCGTGCAGCCCTCCAAAGACATCAAATCTACCCAAACCAGGATTCCCAGCTGCAGGGCAGGGGCTCCTCTTGGTCCCCCCTGCAGGGCAGCTCCACTTGGTCTGTCTTTTTCTTGGCCACTCAACCCAGAGGCTCCTGCTGGTGCTAAAAACAGGCTGCGTTTCAGGGAGGTCCCAGCTGGGACCCAGACAGCAACGACTAAAGGCTGCGCATCCGTGGTCCGTGGATTGGTCTCCCCATTCTCTTGGGCAGAGAGAGGAGAGAGAAAGAGAGAGAGAGAGAGAGAGAGAGAGAGAGAGAGAGAGAGAGAGAGAGACTTGAAGAAACAGAGACAGAGACACAGGGTAGAGAACGGCGATGGCCCCGAGGCAGGACAGTCTTTGGATTCCCTGGATGATAGTGGACTGTGGAACCCCAGAGCCACCCAGCACTGAATGACATAAATCCTGCCTCCACAGAGCCCTGAATTTGCAGCCCCCCCCCCCCGAGGCCGTCACCTGAGTGTGTTGGCAATGACATGAAGCCATGGTTGTTGGTTTGAGCCCTGGGGTGGGGGGGAGCCCACTCTCCTTCTGCTCACCCCCCCCCATGTTTCTTGGGAACCTACTATGCGCCAGGCGCTGGGGTAGAGCAGTGACCGCACTGATGGTGTCCCGCCTGGATGGGTCTGGATTCCAGGCGCTTTTGCCCCTCACGCTGGAAGGACCATGTGGGTGGGTGGCTCGGCAGCATCTTTTCTCCTGGGGAGGGAAGGGGACTCTGAAAGCAGGGCCGGCACAGCGCTGCTCCCTGTCCCCTGCCTTCCCCTGCCCCCTGCCAGCTGCTAACAAGCTCAGAGTCCTCTCCAAGCCCATTTGGCACCCACTTAGAGCAAAGCTGTGTCGGAATGTAAAAGAACCAGGGAGCCACCAAAGAGGCCAGACCAGAAATAGTGTCAGAGGCACAAAGCCACAGGGACCTCCGACCGACCGGCAGCCCATGTGCTGATGTGGCCAGCGACCCCCAGGGCTCCTCCATGTAGGCTGCAGGGGGAGAGCGGGCGGGGGCTTTCCCTGAGCATCCCCTCTGCCAAACAGCCTCCTGCCATTTTTTAGAGCTAGTTTTTTGGGGGGGTACCAGGGATTGAACTCAGGGACACTCGACCCCTGAGCCCCACCCCAGCCCTATTTTGTGTTTTATTTAGAGACAGGGTCTCACTGAGTTGCTTAGGGCCTCACTTTTGCTGAGGCTGGTGATCCTCCTGCCTCAGCCTCCCGGGCTGCTGGGATGACGGGGGTGCCACTGTGCCCAGCCTCCCTACCATTTTCTTTCAATCCTTTCAGCAATTTAATTTTTAGGGCTGGGATCCTTTGGCTCACTTGACAGCAGGGGGACCCGGGGGTCAGTGAGCAGCGGTGACTTGCCTAAGGCGCTCAGCCAGAAGGGGCCGGGTTTGAACCCAGAGCGGCTTGTGCCCCCGGGGCTGAGGCTCCAGCCGAGTGTCTGCAGAAGCCAGGGTGACCCGTCCTCTCCCGGCTTCTTCTGTGGAAAGATCTGGCACGTGGGTGGCGTCTGGGGACACTGGGGATGCCGCACATCTCTAGAGTGGTCCGGATGGCGGGATCCGGGTCTTTCTGAGGTGTGGGTGACGCAGGCTGGACCCCCCCGCCCCCCGCCAGGCACTGCAGGCTCCCTGAGCTCGTTCGGCCCTTTGTCCTTCACCCAGAGAACTTTTGCTCCTCTCTGGAGACTGCTCTTCTTTCTTAAGAGCTGCCCTATCAAAGACTTCGCCCTGGGGAAGCCCTTCCGGGTCCCCCAGGCCGTTACCGACCCTCACTGCTCCAACTCCCGCCTTCCGGAGCTTTCCGCAGCAGGGCCACAGCCTCCTGAGATTTGAAGCCAAAATCTGGGAATTGATGGGCAAAGGCCCTTGTCTGGACACGTGGCTCTAGTCGTCATTTTCAAAGGGGTCGAAAGAAGGCCGTGGTTGGGAAGATGGGCTTTGCAGTCGGGTGGCCCTAGATCTGCAGCCCAGCGGCCATTGCCTGCTGTGTGGCTCTGGAGGAGTGACTCAGGCTCTCTGACACTCATTCCCCAGCCACGCAAAACAGAGACAGCTCGCCCGCGTGGCATTGTGACAGGGACTCACTCGCCAGTGAAGTCCCAAGTTTTCAATTCTGAGACTAGTTCAACAAAAGTGACACTGGTGCCTTCAAATAAGCTGGAAATGACGATCCAGAGCTTACATAGATATTATATTAACTAATCTTATTACATTATGATTATTGCACTCTGATGGGATTATATTGTTGTTGTTGTCATCTCTTTACATGTTCTGTAAGTTCTCACAGGTGTCTCACATCAGGGATGATGCCACCAATGGAGTAAATCAGAGCACGCAGCTGTGTAGAAGAACAATTTATGGCACATATCAAGTGCTCAATAAACATTGTTGATATTCAGTGCTGCTCTCCACTAGGGTACTTGTCCTTGTCTATCTGGTATGGTTACTATTTAAATGGCCTTCGCCCTTAGTTGCCTCTGGATTCCCTGAAAGCAGACTCTGAGCTACTTAGTCCTCATTCCTAGCTCACACATAGTCGGCAACCAGCAGACATTTTTAAATGAATGGGAGGAAAGTGGATGCCTGGGTGGACAGAGATGGTGGATGTTTGGATGGATGGATGGATAGATGGGTGGGTGGATGGTGTGATGGATGGGTGGATGGGTTGATGGATGGGTAAATGTATGATGGATGCCTGAATAGACAGACAGAAGTATGGATGATTGGGTGGACAGACTGACTGCACAGGGCCTGTCTTTTTTATTGTGTTGTTCACTGATCTATTCCAAATGCCTAGGAGGTGGTTGGTGCATAGGAAATGCTCGGTACTCAGTTCCGTAGTGGACGGGCGGGCGGCCTCCAAGCCACAGTTAAACTCCCCGCTGCTGTCTGGATCTGGAGGGGCCGTCTCGCTTCAGAGCTCCCGTCCAGTGGCCCTGACTGAGATGGGCGTCGGGCGGCCATGCTGTGATTTCCCCGAGGCCCTCTTCTGCTTTCTGATTCACACTCAGCTCCTCTTCCCGGCTGACGATCCTGAACATTGACTCCTACAGCAGCGGCCCTGGACTCTGTCCTCACTCCATACCCGAGGGCAGCTTGCTAACCAGAGGCGCTGACCAGAGAGGTCAGGAACCTTCCTGTGGACCAGGCTCCCCAGTGATTCAGAATCAAATGCTCCTCGGGCCATTGTCTGAGAGACCCTGAAAAAGACGAGCTTCTGTCTGTAACTGGTAGAAGGGACAGATGGCTCGCAGCTCTGGGAACCGTCTCTGAGTTCTCAAGCGATGTCCAGATCATGTGGGGGAAAGGCAGAGGCCAAAAGCCCATGAGTAAGAGCTGGACTTTGGCATTGGAACATCTGGCTTCAAATCCCATCTCTGCCTCCATCAAGCCGTGTGACCTCAGTTTCCTCATCTGTGAACTAGGGAGACGCTCGCCCCCGTAGGACTGATGAGAAGGATGAGGAGATGCGTGCAGAAGGCTTGGCACAAAGCCGGGCACACAGTAGACACTCAATAAAAGCTGAATAAACGAATGTGTTGCTGAGTAATGCCAATGTCCCTTTCTTCTTCAGGTGGAGGAGAGGGACCTGTGGATTCCATTTCTGTCCCTAGAAAGTGAGGCTGGTGAGCCAAGGGCTTTGGTCTCTCTGGCTCCCAGCCTCGGACGGTTCTGGGCACATAGGACGGCTCTCCTTAAATATTTGTTGGGGGAAAAAAATGAATGAATCTGAGCAGATTCAAAATCAGCTGGGCCCAGCGGGTAGTTCAGCAGGAACTGGGAAATGCCTTGGGGACCTCACCCACATGTGGATGTTCATATTTGACAAAGATAGAAGAAGCGTGGGGCAGAGCACAGTCGGTCTCTGTATCTGCAGGTTCTGCAATCAGAGATCCGACCAACTATGGATGGAAAACACTCGAAAACATGATTTTGCTGTTCTGCACATGCACAGACTTATTTCTTGTCCCTTTTCTCTAAATACAGTATAAAAACTGTCTCTATAGCATTGACATTGCGTGAAGTATCAGAGCAATGTAGCAATGATTTAAAGTGTCTGAGAGGTTGTGTGCAGGTTCTCCGCCAATACGGCACCATCTTCTAGAAGGGGTTGGAGCATCTGTGGATTTGGCTATCTGTGGGGTGGGGGCCGGGTCCTGCAACCAACTCTGTCCCCAACGAAGGATGCTCAAGACCCCCTTGGTTCTGTCTTTGGAGAGGGGCTCCCCATGCCGGGTTCTGTGCTCTTTTGCAGGTGGCTGCCCGGTGTCCCGATGCTTGACAGTTGGAGGCCCACCGGTTTCTGACCCCAGAGGGTGGACCCCGGGAGCCTGGCCCCTGGCTGGGAGATAAGGCCAGAATCCAAGCCCTGGGTGAAGTCACCCGGCTCCCACAGGCCTGAGGAGCGGAACCTCTGCCGAACTGCCACTTTCAGAGCCCCTGGGGGGAGTCCCGAGGTGAAGAACAAGATGTAGGGAGATGGGACCACCTCCCGCGCGTCCCCTGGCTTGGCCACAAGAAGCCCACCTTGACCTTGGGCCGCCTCTCCCTTGGCCTAACCAAGAGCTGGACGTGTCCTGGGCCTCAGGCCTGGGCGATCCCCTTTGCAGAGGGAGGAAGACTGAGGACCCCCGGGGGTCCCGTCCCTAGGGGAAGCTCGGAAAGCCACGCCCCTGTCGCCTCCCCAGCCGCCCAGCAGCCAGTGGGTCCGGAATGCCCGCGCCATGGCCAAGCTCTGGGTCAAGGTGCAGCGCTCCTGCCGCAGGAAGCCCCTGCGCTTCCTGTCGCTCCTGGCCCTCTACCTGGCGGCCGGGAGCCTGGTCTTCCTGCACTCGGGCTTCGGGGGTCAGCCCGCCGCCTCCCAGGGCCAGGCCAGCCCCGCCGCGGGCGGCGTCCAGGGCCACGAGCTGCCCTTCCTGGGCGACCTGCACCTGGGCAGGGGCTTCCGCGACGGCGAAGCGTCCAGCATCGCGCGCAGGTACGGACCCTCGTTCAAGGGCAAGGACGCCAACGAGAGAGCCAAGCTGGGCGACTACGGGGGAGCCTGGAGCCGAGCCCTCAAGGGGAGAGTCCTCCGGGAGAAGGAGGAGGAGCGAGGTAAGAGCCCCGCGGAGCCGGCAGGGGACGAGGGACACCACCGGAGGGTGACAGCACCCTAGCGCCATGCCCTTTAGGAAGCAGGTGTCCTAAGCTTGTAGCGACATGGTGGAGATTTTACTCTCGCCCCCACTCCACAGAGGGAAAAAAACTGAAGCTCAGAGAGGTTAAGCAGCCTGGGCAAGTTTGCACAGCTTGTGGAGTTTGCATTTGTCCTCAGGGGACATCACTGCCCTGGGCTTGTTTCGCTGCATTTCTCAGCTGTCGCAGGCAAAGGTGGTTTACTCTGATTTTCACTGAATTCCATGAGGTTGAACCGGACACTTACAATCCTGTGCCCAGTTAATAGATGTGAAAACTGAGGCTCGAAGGAGCAGAGACGCTGGCTCTGGGCGGCAGTAGCCCTGGGGTTTAAATCAGATCTCCCTGGCCTGGACGCTTGGCTGTCTGTGATGCACCCCAAGTCCACTGGCACCTGACGGGCATGCTGGGGAGAGACCCAGCAACCCTGGCTATCCGGAGATTAACACAGACGAGGTTCCCAGAACTCAGGCTGGATGGTCAGGGGCATAAATGAAGGGGAGGGAAAACCAGCCCTGGGTTCCACTGAGAGTCAGCTCACAGAAAGTCCTTTCTCCCGCCAAGGCCCAGGCCAACGGCTTCTCTTCCCTGTGCCTCGGTTTTGAAATCTGTAAAATGGGGATAAAGATCCCTTCCCCCCAGGCGGTCTGAGAGTTCAGTGAGATGCCACCCGGGAAGCACCTGGCACCCCCAGGCCTGGCACCGAGTGGTTACAGATGTTCAGGGGGTGCTCCTGGGGTCTGCCTGGGGGGAGCCCTCTCACAGGTACAGGTGAGCAGGAGGAGTTGTGACTGTCCCTCCATATCTGTGGGTCCACACCTTCAGATACTGAAGGATTGCTATACGCTGCTGCTGCTGCTAGTACTAATAAGCCTTTCTTGAGCAACTACTACATGCCATTAAGTTGTATTTGCTCTTCATAGCTTAGTGACTTGTGTAAATGCTTATCCCATCTTCTGGCTCATGAACACAGGTCCCTGAATCGTTGCTGTCATTCTTAGTAGCAGCTGGTCTCTACTGGACGCAGTGATGCAGGGCTTGAGCTGTAGGCAATGGAGACCCTGCCACAGGCTGAGGCGGAGGAGGGGTGCTTTACCACTGAGCTGTATTCCCAGCCCTACTTACTTATTTATTTGGGGGGCAGGGTCTCACCAAGGTCTCACTAAGTTGTTCAGGGCCTTGTTCAATTGCTGAGGCTGGCCTCGAACTTGTGATCCTCCTGCCTCAGCCTCCCAAGCTTCTGGGATTACAGTTGTGCACCACTGTGCCCAGGTTTGGTTTTGTTTTGGTTTTGGTATCAGTTACTGAACCCAGGAGCACTGAACCACTGAGCCACATCCCCAGCCCTTTTTATTTATTTATTTTTATTTTGAAACAGGGTTTGTATTTACAGACAGGGTCTTGCTCAGTTGCTTAGGACCTTGATAAGTTGCTGAGGCTGGCTTTGAACTCACGATCCTTCTGCCTCAGCCTCCCGAGTTACTGAGATCCACAGGCGTGTGCCATGCACGTCACCCGGCCCCACATGGCCATCTTCTTGTAAGGACCCCAGTCCTATTGGATTGGGGCTCACTGTCCTCCAGTTTGGCCTCGGGACTCAATTACATGTGCCGGGATCCTATTTCCAACAAGGCAGCATTCTGAGATACTGGGGATTAAGACTCCGACATATCTTCTTTGGGGGTGAGGAGGACCCAATTCAATCCATAACATAGTAGAATTTTTATTTTCACTTTTTCTGGGAGAAAAATCATACTTCCAAGAGCCCGAGTGACATTCAGAGCTTCCTGCAGCTCGGTCCTGGGGATTGAAGCCAGACCTGCCTGACTGCAGGACAGGGAGACGCCACCTGTCGCAAATCCACTTACCAGGGACTGGTGAGGGGTGCAGGTCAGTGTGTGTTCGTCTCCTGGGGACAGAAGGCCCTGCTCACAGACAGCAAAGCCTTATTTTATTAAAGATGAACTGGAGCCGCAGAACAAAGTTAAGAAAGAAGGATCAGATGCCCCTCACGGGAGGCTTCCTGACGCTGGTTCTGGAAGCCTGGCCACTCCAGCAGCCGGTCACCATGGAGACGAGCTGATAGCTGGAAACTTGGCCATAGAATCCACCCTCCAGTGGCCTGGGATTTGGGGAGGGGGCCCCAGAAGAGAGCTGAAGGGGTCGGCAGAGGCCGTAAAACCCCCAGGACAGGGACAGTGGTAGGGTGGGTGGCAGCCTCTACCAGACGCCAGTGGGAAAGGCGTCCCCAGATCTGTCCCAGGACCCGTAGGAAATGGACTCATTATCCACACCCCGGCCCCCAGGGCTCTGCCGACTCATCAGGCCCTGGTACCCAGGACCCTGAGTCTGTCTGTCCCTCCCCCTGTCCACAGATAAGGAGGTGGAGGTCAGTCAAGTCTTTGTTCTGTGGGACACTTCAGCCCAGTGGAGGGAAAGGTGAGGGTGGCCCCGCACTCCAAAGTCCAGGCTGTGGGGACAGTGGCTGCATAAACACACCCTGTTTTTTTCTCTGAGGGACCCAGCCTCTCCCAACCCCTCCAGAGTCATGGGAGGAATCTGCAGGTAGCGCCCCTGTCACTGCGGTCCCTGGAAGGGGATGGGCTGGGCTCGGGGGATCTGAGACCATCACTGCCAGATAAGCTCTGCCAGTTGGGTGTCGGCGCAGGTTGGTCACGCCCCGCTGATGGCAAAGGACAAAAGGCCCCCAGAACCAGCTTTAATAAAGAGGAAAATGCACTAGGCCATGTCACCAGGCTGCAGAAGGCCTCCCTGGATGCGATTTTTGTCAACTCACCACAGTCTCCTTCTGGAACGCTGCTCTCTGCCCACCCCTGTCTTGGCTGCTTGTCCTAACGCAGCTGCTGCTGGCCTGGGGACTGGCTGTTGGTAGTGCTAGACTTGCACGAGGCCAGCGTCCCGAGAGGCTTCACCCTGTAGGAATCCAGCGAGCGCCTCCTGCGCCCTTCCCTGGGCCAACACTGTGGCTGCGGGGTGGGCACTCTGAGAGGCCCTGTCCAGGTCAAGGTCTGAAAACCGGGAGAGGGGCGTTCTGCAGGCCCAGAGCGCCCACCTCGGTCCACCCGCCATGCCACTGTGGAGGTCCGGATGCACCCGCACTGACACACTTTTACTTCTGTGATTAGACGATACCATCCTATCTACGTGATCGCTGTCCCCCGGTAGCCAAATGCACCTGCCCGCAGCCTAAGCTGACAGCCCCCAAAGTCATGTTGCAGCTGGTGGCAGGCCCAGCCTTGGGCTTGGAAGTTGTGCAGATTATGTGGCCTCCCCGGTTCATTTAGAAAAGAGGGGGACAGAGGGAATGTCAGTAGCTGCCCATCAGAGCGTACGCCCCGTGCCCAAAGTTGAGATTCGCTTGTGAGGCCAACAGACAGAAGAGGCATGGCGGTCAGTTTGCTCATCTGTGAAATGGGTTCGTGAGAGCGCAGATTGAACGGGACGGGGCGTGGCTCCGTCCACGTGGTCCAGCGTGGCCCATACAGTGGGCCCCGCGGGGAGGCGCGCTCTGACGCATGCGCATCTGGTGATGAAGCCCCTCTCCCCTGTCTCTCCCTCCCTCTCTTTGCTTTCTCCTCTCTCTCCCCGGGCTTTTTGTCCTCCTGCCTACCCCACTGTGTACCCTGGACACTCATCCTCTAGTGAACCACTGGACACGCCCACCCAGTGCCCCCGCCCAGCTGGGGGGCGTGGCATCCCTGCTGGAGTCCAGGGGCTGCGATCCCAGCCAGGAGAGAGGGGCTGAGCACAAAGGCAGGGGGCGGGGCCTCCAGAGCGGCCACTGTCTGGTGTCCCTGCTTCCTCTAAAGATGGACTGTCCCCAGCCCAGCAGATCAGCAGATCGCCTCTGTCTCATGAAAGAAATCCTAGGGGATGGCGGCGCGTCTCCTGCAGCGCTGGGAAATGCTGCTCTTGGCAGGGGAGCGGCAAGGGGCCTGACAGTCCATTGTGACAGGCTGTCGTCCTCCGATAGACCTGCTCCTCATGACAAGACAGGGGAGGGGGCGCGCACGGTGTAGACTGGACAGCATTCTCGGCAGGGAAAGGGGTCAAGGGGTCCTTAGCATTTCCCTTGGTCTTTCCCACTAGCTGGATCCACGGTCCCGCCTCCAGGTGCGTCTGAGCGCAGCGGTGGGGAGAGCTGGTGTGGGTGCCCCGGACCTGATTGAGGAGGCTTTGTTCAGGCAGAACACCTTTCTGGGCCTCTAATAAGAGCGTGAGGACCATGGTGCTTCCCGCTACCCATGGGGCATTGAAAAGATCCCCTCATTCAAGAAGCAAGAAGTTCAGAACGTGGGCTCTGAAGCCAGACTGCTTGGGTCCAATTCCGGCTTCCTATGTACAAGCTGTGTGTTACTTTGGGCAAAGACTTACCCTCTCTGGGCTTTGGTGTCCTGTTCTGTATAGAATGGGAATAATATTCTCATGAGATTATTTTAAAGATCCAATGAAGACAATGTGCATGAACCACTTACCAAAGCGCATATCCAAATAATAATAATAACAGTAATTTTGAAGAAATAATGGGGCCGGGTGCAGTGGTGCCGCCTCTAATCCCAGCAGCTCAAGAGGCTAAGGCAGGAGGATCATGGGTTCTAAGCCAGCCTCAGCAACCTAGTAAACCCTAAGCAACTTAGCAGGATGCTGTCTCTAAATAAAATATAAAAAAAAGAGTTTGGGATGTGGCTCAGTGGTTAAGAGCCCCTGGATTCAAAAAAAAAAAAAAATTAAAAAAAAAGGAAAAGAGTTTATATAAACTGTAAAGTCCTGCCCTTTGTGCATGAGAGTTCACTGTTTGGCATGAAGTACAGGAAAGTGTTTAAGAAAACTAAGTGCATGGTTTATAGCTAGATGGTTATTTTATATAGTTTGGAATTGTCCTTTGGATGGGAGAATTCACCTTGACCCACCATAGAGACAAACTGTAAAGTTCCTTACACAACACTGTGAATGGCTCGTTACTGAATCCATTTACCTGAATGTTGCGCCTCTGACATGCAGGACCATGGGAGAGACAATTCCACACACATTCCGTCTAGACCTCCCTGGGCTGTTAGCGTCTTGCAATGGCCTGTAGGAATTGTTTAGCCCATAGAGCTGCTTAGTATGGGCCTCATCCCGGGTGGCTCCAGGATGGCCTTAGCTTGGGTTTCTGGGTGCCCCAATGTCACAAGGAGACCCAGGGGCTTGGCTGCAGCTCCCTGCTGTCCCCTGCTGGCCTCCAGGACCTTGGCCCCTCCTGGACCAGGTTCCACCGAGGCCCGGGAGGAAGGAATCGGTCCCCAACGCCCAGCCAGGCCACCGTGCCAGCCAGCCTGAGGCTCCTCCTGTCCCCCACATCTGACTTCTCACCTTTCCCCCAAAGCCAAGTACATCGGCTGCTACCTGGACGACACCCAGAGCCGCGCCCTGAGGGGTGTGTCCTTCTTCGACTACAAAAAGATGACCGTCTTCCGTTGCCAGGACAACTGCGCCGAACGGTAGGTCCCCACGTCCCCAGATCCACCTGTTGGGGTCCCTCCCTTCTCCCTCCTGCTGTACCATAGTGGCCGGGGGGGGGTGGGGGTGAGCACCGGGGCGGCTTGCAGGCGAGCGTGTGCGCATGTGTGTGCCAGGAGACTGTCCAGAGGTGGCCGCGGGTGTGATGTGAGCCCAGGAGCCAGTCCCTGGTGTGCAGAGTGGGGCTGGCTGGCGACACTGGGGAGCGCAGTGGTGGCGCCTGATGATCTTCTAGTAGAGGTCGCGGGCTGGAGCCGCGCACCGTGGCCAGGTAGCCGATGGCACTGCCCACACGCGGCACTGAGGTGACGGCGTACAGGTGTGAGGACTTGCAACTGATGGGCGTGTGCGCGTGCGCACTATACACACGGAGCTAGTGAGAAGGGGGAGGCGAGAGCTTGGGAATGGGGGTATCTGGCCTCTCTCCCAAGGAGAAACACTCAGCTCTTCAGACAGGATCCCCAACCCAGGAACAAGGGGATAGATTGATTAGAGTGGGCACCGAGGGGGCCAGGAGCAGTGGCCCACGACTGTTAACCCAGCCACTAGGGAGGCTGAGGCAGGAGGATCGCAAGTTGGAGGCCAGCCTCAGCAATTTAGCAAGATACTGTCTCAAAATAATAAAATAAAGAGGGCTGGGAATGTGGGTCTGTGGTAAAGTGCCCCTGGTTCAATCCTCCCACAAAAAAGAATGTGCATGGGGGGGAGAGAGAGTTGACTTGGGGGGGTACCAGGGGTAGAACTCAGGGGCACTCGACCACTGAGCCCCGTCCCCAGCCCTATTTTGTATTTTATTTAGAGACAGGGTTTCCCTAGTTGCTTAGTGCCTCGTTTTTTGCTGAGGCTGTCTTTGAACTCACCATCCTCCTGCCTCAGCCTCCCGAGCTACTGAGGTGACAGGCGTGCACCACCTTACCTTTTTAAGAGCAGATGAGTCCATGTATGACCAGTAAACAGGGTCAGGACCCTGGGGTGCCATGGGCTTGATCTTTTCCCCTGTCTCCTGGGACCCTTAGCCTTGGGTGGCACACAAGGTGACCTGGAATCCACTCACTGCCATACTTCATCCAGCTGACCGATGGTCACAAGCTCCGCTGGCCACATGCTAATGCAGAAATGGGCTAGTGGGTGGCCAGGGAGGGACTCTCCCTTCAGTCCCTGATTAGGACACACTGTCCCCTTTATAATGAGCTGCCTGAGAAGCCCACCATTAAAGTCACGAGCCCGGGACCCTGTCCAGCTTGGGAAGGGCCATGGGATCAAGGATGTGGATTTGCTAATTTATTTGCCAATCCGTGGGGAGATGGGGGTGGGTTCCCCGGAGCCCCTGGCCCCGGGAGCTCCCAGCCTAGACGGGGGACAGACGAGTACACGGGGCAACCTGTGAGCTAGGGTTGCAACGTGTCACCGCAGGAGCTGGACATCAGAGAGGCCCCGCCACCCAGAGGTCCGGAGAGGCCGCTCGGGGGTGACAGCCAAGGAGCCCTGGGGCCGCTGTGGGAATTCCGCTCAGCTCAGGGAGCATCTGCCGGCTGTGCACATGAGCTGGGGTCGGGGCCGAGGCAACTGCAGCCCTGCCCATGGGGCGCCCCCCATCTCACCGGGGAAGCCGAGGCACCAACAGGTTAGCTATAGAGCAGCAGCGTGTCCACCCAGGAAGCACTTGCTCCTGCCGAGCACTGTCCCAAAGCACTTTGCAGTTCCTAACTCTTCAACAACACATGATTCCCATGAGGCAGGGGTGCCAGGGACCACATTCTACAGATGGGCAATCTGGGGTGTAGACACACGGAGCATGATGGGTGCTGTACAGTGGAGATCTGAAGGCAGAAGGGGTGGGGGGCTCCACAAAGGGGCCTGGGGATGGATTACAAAGGTAAGACCCTGAGTGGGGTTTTGAAGGATGAATAGGAGTTTCCTTGGTACTCCCAGTAGAGTATGGGGAAGAAACATCAGAGCCTGAACTAGGGAGCAGAGAGAGAGGGAAGGTCCAGGCTTGTTCCTTTTAAACTCACAGGAACTACTGAGGGTCCCCTGAGCACTACCTTAATCCCTTCCATGGGCACACCCCCAATGACCCAAGACCTCTCACCAGGCCCCACACCTTAAGCCTCCACCACCTCCCAATAGCACCACCCTGGAAAACCAGGCCTTTGACACATGGACCCTTGGGAGACACTCAAACCATAATCAAACCCAGAGCACCTTGGAAGGTACTGCCATCTGGGTTCGTCAGCTTGCTGTCACTGTGACAAAATACCTGAGACAATTAGCTTATAAAGAGAAAAGGTTTATTTGGGCTCCCAGTTTTGGAGTTTCCAGACCATGACTAATGGGCCTCGTTGTTTTGGGCCTGTGGGGAGCAACACACCATGTGGAGCACATGAAGAAGCAAAGCCACTCACCTCTTGGTCAGGAAAGGAGAGGAAGAGGAAGGGGCTGGGCCTCACGGTTCTCTTCAGGGCATGTCCCCAGTGACCCAAGGACTTCTGGCTAGGCTCTACCCCTGCAAGGTTCTACCACCTCCAAGCAGCACCACCCTGGGGACCAAGCCTTCAACACTCTGGAGGACACTTGGGATCCAATTCATAGCACCGTCTCCACTGCCACGTTCTGTTCATTGGGAGTCTCCAAGTGGAGTCCCAGCTCCAGGGGAGGAGGACTAAGCTCCATCTTTAAAAGAACGGAGTGGCTCAGAATTTGCGGATACAGTTCCGAACCTCCACCCTCCTGACCCAGGACACTCCCTGGCACGTTTCTTTCCAGAGCGGCTGGACCCTCTCCTGGGTGGGTCTCCCTGACCCACCGGGGCCTCCATCCTTCGGGCCTCTGAGGGGTGAGGCCCCTCTTGCTTTGGATTTGGCAACACTGCTGGGCCCTGTTCTTGGAAAAGGCTGTTTCTATCAGTGGGTACCATCATAAAAGAGAGGACCCAGGACACCTGAGAACCAGGGCCTGAGAGACAGGGAGCTGAGGCAGGCAGAGGAGGGAGGCTGGCGCAGCCCCAGGATTGTGCTGGGCGTCAGATCCCAAGATGCTCAGCTCATCTAAGATGCTCTTGCCCCTCCTGCCCAGGTGAGCAGGTGGCTGTGGCAATGCCACATTCTACCCCAAGTTGCTGGGGCATGTGGGGGCCACCAGCCTGGCTGGGCATGTCTCTCCATCCAGGACCACACCAGCCATACGTGAGCACACGGTCCCTGCAGGCTGCTCTTCGGGTGCCCAGTACTTTGCAGGCTGCTGCCGGAGACCACCGTATCTCAGAGGCCACCGTGGATGAAGGGGCTGAGCAGGGCCTGTCTTCCTCCCCTCCCCAGCCCCCCAGGCCTGGGACCCGAGCCAGCAGGGACCTTCATTTTTTCCTAGACTGTGGAGCCCCTGAGCATCCTTTTTAGGAAAGGATTTCATGCTTATGAAAAAAAATTAAAAATCGAAGCGTGCCTGGATTGTTCTGTTTTAGGGGAAGGAATTTCTCCCTTGGCTGGGTCTGGAGCTAGTTTTGCCATCTTCCAAAGGAAAGGAGAGTCTCTGCTCCTCCCCTGGCCCCAGCTCCTCTAGAGACACAGCCACATCATTCCTGAGTGACATTTCCTGGAATAAAGAGGCGGGGCTCTGGGGAACTGAATGTCCCCGGTCCCCAGACAGGGAGGACCAGGGGAGGGCACCAGGGTCTGGGCGCATGTGTGATTGTACACTGTGGTGGAGGCTCTGCAAGGGTGACGGTGGGCGTGGCGGAGAGGGCAGGTGGGTGGTCCCTGGGGTGCTCCAGTTCCCTTCCTGGGTTTCTCTGACCTCAGGGCCTCTTTTCTTTCTTCCTGGCTCTGGAACTCCCCAGCCTCCCTGACTCCTCTTAGGAGTTTCCTGGAGTCCCCCTCTCCAGGATCCCCAGGGGTCTCCTGATGGCCTTGGGATGCCTCTGTGTCCTGAAGGCCCTTGTCCACCGGGTCTCCGCGCTGGCGGGGTCTGTTGTCGCGGGGTCTGCAGTCGCGGGGTCTCCCGGTGGCAGCCTCCCCCACCTGACAGCGGCCTCCCCTAGGGGTTACCTGTACGCCGGGCTGGAGTTCGGGGCCGAGTGCTACTGCGGCCACAAGATCCAGGCGGCCAACGTGAGCGAGGCCGAGTGCGACATGGAGTGCAAGGGCGAGCGGGGCAGCGTGTGCGGTGGCGCCAACCGCCTCTCGGTCTACCGGCTGCAGCTGGCGCAGGAGTCGGCCCGCAGGTGTACGTGAGTCGGCCCCGCCCCGTCCAAGGCTCCTCCCCTGGCCACCCGGGCCCCGCCCCATCTGCGGCTCCTCCCTTGGCCACACCCCTGGGCCCGCCCCATCTGCGGCTCCTCCCCTGGCCACACCCGGGCCCCGCCCCATCTGAGGCTCCTCCCTTGGCCACACCCCTGGGCCCACCCCATCTGAGGCTCCTCCCTTGGCCACACCCCTGGGCCCAGCCCTGCCTGCAGAGCCTCTGCAGGTCCCATGCCCTCTGTCTGCCCCTGGCCTCCCATGGCTCCCCATCACCCAGAGGCTACTGCTGTGCCGCCCAGCCCGCCTCCCGCACCTTTGCAGAGCGAGCCAGTTCCTGCTTTCGGGACATTGTCCCACGTGGCCCCCTTCCTGAGGGTCAGGGCTGTTTAATGAGAGTTAGTAACGATCTGTCAAACATCTGCCAGGTCTCTGCTAAGCCTCGGGCAGGCCTTGTTTTACTTACCTTCCCTACAGGCTTTTCGGGTCACTGCCATTGTTAATTATCCCCATCGACAGCGAGGGAACAGAAAAAATTACAGTGAACTTGCCAAAGGTCACGCAGTCTAGTGCCAGATGACCTTCAGACCTATTAAAAGATCTACTGGGCTTGACGAGGAGTGGGAGGCTGGGATTACCCTCTCGGGCAGTTGAACCAGAGACAGGACAGAGCTCCACAGTGAAACCCTCTAGCCCTGTGGCCTGCGCTTCCCCAATTGGAACATGTCTGAGAGGCCCCAGAGACCTTGTTCAGCTTCTGTGTCAGCAAGCCAGGGACATTCTGCATTTCTAAGGAGCCCCGTGTGACGCCAGGCTGCTGGCCCATGGACCAACTTTGAATAATGAGGCTTGATCTCAGCAAATCTCTCCTAGAATGCAGACAGACAGTTACACCTCTGTTTGCATAAAAAGTCCTCCTCTATGTGAATTTCATATTTTATAAACTCATTGTTTGCTGGGGTGCGGTGGGGCACGCCTGTCATCCCAGTGGCTTGGGAGGCTGAGGCAGGAGGATCTCGAGTTCAAAGCCAGCCTCAGCAACTTAGTGAGACCCTGAGCAACTCAGACCCTGTCTCTAAATAAAGTACAAAATAGGGCTGGGGATGTGGCTCAGTGGCACCTTGGTGGCTCGGTAACACCTCCTTGATGTCTCATTTTATACCTAGAGAAACTCAAGATACAGCCGAAGTGGCTCAGCTGAACAGCCCTGTGGGGAGGGGCTCCAAAGAGAAGAGGCTTTGTATAGGGGCCTCAAAAAATGCATAAGGTCATGCCCAGTGGATAGGGAGAGGAGATCCAGACCAAGGAAGTGGTGTGTGCAGAAACCCCGAGGTCATTTCATTTCTGGAAATAATGGGCAGGTGTGATTTTCTTTTTTTTTCCAAAGCCATGTCTCCTCATAGTGACTGATCATGGGCAGGAACCCAGTCTCCCAGTTTGGGTGCTCACTCAACACAGTACTGTGGACAACCTGACTCCTTGAATTGGATTCAGGATCCCATCTCCTCTTTGTTGGGGGTCACTCCTTAGCCCCAGCTGAACTCCTCCTGCTCCCAACCCCTGAGCCTTCCTTCTGCTTTGCTCCCCGACTCTAGGCAACATGAAACCACCGATGTTTTTTTTCTCTGACTTTCCATGCCCGGGATCTGTTTTATACATAAATAAATCAGAAAGAGATTGCCCTCCAAGTCACTGTCACACAACTCTAGCTTGTATCACATCAGAAGGAGAAGTGAGCCGGTGCTTCAGGAAACAGGTGGCGCAGGGGACAGCTCTTGTGTGTAGAGTCACTCCTCCGTATTAACGCTGTTTCCTAATGGTTTTCCCTGAAGATCCAAAGGCGGCTTCTTATGTCCCCAACACTTTGATGACTGGGTGTCTGCCTTGGGTAGGGAGCCCGGCAACATGTTTTTGAGGCCACAGGGTGCTTTAGTTAGCTAAAGCACCAAAGGCTGGCAGAGCAAATATCTGCAGGCACCTGCTGCTCTCCCTTCACACAGACTCCTGGACACTGGGGCTCTTTGCCTGGTTACAAAAGAACCAGGAAATGGACTTCCTTCTTGATTGGAGTCTTTTTTTTTAATACTAGGAATTGAACCCAAAGGTGACTTAACCACTGAGCCACATCCCCAGCCCTTTCTTTTGTATTTTAATTAGAGACAGGGTCTCACTGAGTTGCTTAGCGCCTCGCTAAGTTGCTGAGGCCAGTTTTGAACTCGCGATCCTCCTGCCTCAGCCTCCCAAGCTGCTGGGATGACAGGGGTGCGCCACCCGTGCCAGGCTGGACTCCATTTTTCACAGTCGCCTGCTAACTGTGTCTGCAAGAGAGGCTCTTCTCCCGGAGAGGGACACCTGATGGATTCGTGAACATTATGATTTCATAGCATGTTGCAAGAATAGTCACTGGCCTCAAAGAGTCTTGCAGATTTGGGTCGCGATGGAAGAACGCTGCGCAGCAAGCTGTCCGGCCCGCGGGCGGCTGTCCATGGTGCTGACTGCCCTTCCGTGGGGCTGTAACCTGGAGCCCCGCAATCCGGTGTCTCCGGGCCTCAGCCTTCTTTCTTCTTACCCTTTCAGCTATCTCGATGGAGCCTTATGAAGCTGGCACCCTCGCTGGGAAAATACAGATCTCTGCTTCGTGCTCACGGCTTCCATGATGGACTTTGTGCAGGGTGGTTACTGTTGGCCACTTGTGGGTTTTGAAGGTCACGAGAATTGAGTGCAGACTTGGCCTTCACGCTCACAGCTCCTCCAATCAACACCTCTGCTGAGGGGGGCTCAGGCGACCCAGGAAATCTCATCTCCAGTCCTCAACCCCCCCTCAACATTTGTCTACAACTCCTGAGTTTCATAACTCATACGAGACTTCACGGATTCCCTGTGTAGAAACAAGGGGAGAAGAGAAAATATTCCTCCTTCTGTATCACAGTGGGGGAGACTTGGGGGTTTTGTTTGTTTTGTTTTGGGGGTACCAGGGGTTGAACTCAGGGGCACTCAACCCCTGAGCCCCATCCCTATCCCTATTTTGTATTTTATTTAGAAACAGGGTCTCCCTGAGTTGCTGAGGGCCTCACTTTTGCTGAGGCTGGCTTTGAGATCCTCCTGCCTCAGCCTCCCTAGCCACAGGGATGACAGGTGTGGGCCACCATATCTGGCTTGAGACTTGATTTCTTTCTTTTCTCCTAACACAAATTCAGGAAGGCATTATTATGGCTTTGGGAGCAGGGCCTGCAGACCTTGTTTTTATGCAAGACTTGCTGTCCTGACTCTGGCCAAGCCACTGAGCCACGGTGAGCCTCAGTTGCTTCGTCTGTAAAATGGAGACATGTCCCCACCTTTCACAATGGCTCTGACGTCCAAGTGGGATAAAGTCTAGAAAGCACCAAGTGCAAGGCCTGTTGCAGATGCTGCCCCTTCTTCCTCATGAAGACCCCCATTCTACTCTGAGAATCACCCAATTCTGGCTCTTCCAGTTTCCAACAGCCTGCGGGCGCCTCTGGGATGTCTAAAAATAGGCAGATTGCATCCTCCTCAGACCGTCAGCCTCTTTGTGTGATTCAGTCTCTTGCTGATGCTAGGTAGCGAGGTGGCCGGGAGCGGCTTCCAGCTCTCGGCTGTTCCTCGTCAACAGCATTTTAATGCACTCGAACTTGGCCTAATTACTCAGGGGGGGGGTGGCCTCTTTCAAACCCAGGAGGACTCCCCAAGCCTGCCTCTAAGCAGATGCCTGCTGACATTTCTCTCATTTGGGGGAAGCCCCAGAACAAAGAGATGAGAGGACTTCAGAGGGACTGGCCACTGGTTCTGGGCTGTTCTTCGTCTGCCCCTCGCCTCTTGCTAGTAAAAAGCTTGGGCAGCTGAGGTCACACCCTGTCCCCGCTGGCCCGCCAGGGAGCTGGTAGTGTCAGAATGTGGGGCACAGGCTTCTGCAAGCCTCGCACTCCTGCTGTGGGCATGGGTCTTTGGAGCCCCAGCATGTTAGGGTTGGGCAGCCCCCTGTAGGTGGGAAGTGAGGATGTGGTGTCCAACGAGATTGGGGTCACATCCCGATTCTGTCCCCCACTGGCTGGGTGACCTGGTAGAGTGATCAGATCTTGCTAGGTCTCCGGGGCTCTGCCTGAACCACAGGATCATAGTATCGTCAACCTCAGAGGTTGTTGCAGAGATTAACTGAGATATAGTGGAGCACGCTCAGCACCAAGGAACAGCTGTTAGGGTTTTCATTATTGTTCAGCTTCAGTGAGGGCTGGTCATTGGGAAGATGCCACTCAGAGCCACTGGTATTGCCCAGGGCTATGGAAGATACAACCCCAGGAAGGACTAGTCCCTGAACTTTGTGAAGGATTTTCCTTATGAATTACAAATGCTCAGAGATCCAAGATGGGCTCAGTTGGGTTTCCCCAGATGCAAGGACACGCGCGAGCCTTGGGCGACCCTGGGAGATGATGTCAGTGTGCACCTGTAGGGGACAGGGAAGGGGCCAGGAGAAGAAGGAAGGTCCTTCCCAATGCAGGCCACCTCTGAGGACAGCTGAAGCCTAATCCCCCTGCAGAGCCCTGGAGGCAGGTGTCCCACCTGAGGGGACAGCCGGCTGCCATCTCTATTCCTCAGCTCCCACCCATGAGCTAGGGTGAATTCTGGTAGGTCCAGCCTGTCCCTCACGGGCCCTAAGGCAGAGAGTCACGGTCACCGCCAGCCCATTCTGGAATGGAGCATGCATATGAGCAGGGGCTATGACAGTGTCCCCTCTGTGGGATCCAGACATCTTCACACACCATGGACAAGGCATGGGGAAGGGAACAGGAAGGAACACAGCACTTGCTGAGTCTCAGACAGTCGTAAGTGCCATTGCAGGGACTTCCACCCCATCTGGCCAGGGTACGTCCACATGATGAGCCCCATTCACAGATGAGGAAAATGGAGACTCCTTGAGGTGAAGACACCTGCCCAAGGCACACAGCTGAGCGTGTGCGTGACCTAAGCAGATGCCCTTCCTGCTGGATCCAGAGCCCTCTGCAGAGAAGAAGGCATCTTCTCACTGCTGCGAGGTCCAAATGTCTTCACGCCACAGGAGAATGTCAGAAAGGCCGAGGGATGCCCTGGCCACTTCACTCTCAGAGAAGAGAGCGTCTCACCCCTGGAGGAGACAGCCAGGTGGCCCATATTCCAGATGGAGGGAAGTGGGAGATCAAATGCCGGGGCCGCCGATCCTGTTCTCAACGCCCAGATCATCAGGATGCTGTGGAGAGCCACCGGCAAAGACAAAGAGCTGCCCGGGATTCCCTGGTTTCCGCCCCCACCTCCCAAGCAGACGGCGGGAAGATTCCCCATCCTGGATTCACTTCCCTAACTGTCCCCTGTCCTCCGCCCCAGCACACACCTTGACCAAAGAGACACCCAGCAGTCACTTCTGATGGTCTCTAGCCCTTTAAGGCCTCTGAAAACCTCACCTGCTTTGGTACTCAGGACATTCAGGGGGCCCACCTCAAGGAGCTGGTACTCAGGGGCTCCTTAGCAGCTGCTTAAAGGTCAGAGGTGACCAATCTCTGCAGAACTGGGCAGCGAAGTCGGCCTGTCCCTTCTCTTCTTTACTAAGCTAAGAGCCCTCCCCTGATCCCATTCTACAGGTGAGAACACCGAGGCTCTGGAAGGCAGGGAACTTGCCCCCGATCAAAGGCGAGGGGCGTGCAGTTGCCAGTAGGAGCTTCATGGAGGACAGCTTCTTGTTCTCCAGGTGACGATGAAGGGTTCATGGCCTTCTGGTGTGGCATCAGCTGGAAGACCTTCCAGGGCCCTGCATTGGGGCTGGGCCACTCAAGGCCATCGGAGATGCATGCTGACGTGGCCCTGTCAGACTGAGCCCAGGAAAGGGAAGTGGGGAGGGCAGAGCACTTGGCCATGGGACCCCAGATGAAGAGCATGGGACCCTGCTGATGCCCTGGTGCCTTCAGTTACCCAAAGTCATGTCTGCCAGAGTGACTCCCAGTGACAGTAAGGAGGACCCAGATCAGCAAGGGGACCCCAAAGACCACCCGAGATGCGTGCTACACAGACACCAGTTGTCCCTGGCTGCAAGCTGAATCGGGCATAATTGTCCCCCAGCTCTTGGCTTCCTGGGGAGAGGCCCTGCTGGGCTGGTCCCCACCCCTGCCGTTCCTGTCTGTCGGGTGCCTTGTCCCTGCTCTGGGGAAGTAGACATCTTGTCCCAACCAGGCGCCAGCTGCTCGGGGGATTGTTGGGAAATGCCAAGCCCTGGTGGCACTGAACTGGCAGGATGCGGGAGGTCAGCTGAAGCTCAGCCTCACCCTGTGCTAGGAGGCCGGCAGCCCTCCTCAGCTAACTGTTGCCAGGCAACCCGGAGAGGACCTGGTCATGTGTCCACGTGCACAACCCCCGGTGGTGAGACTGGCCTCACGGTGGAGTGATGACAACCACCCAGTGTCCGCCAAGAGCAGGCGGCGCCGTTGGACACCCATTGCCAGGAGACCCGCCAGGCCCGTGGGCACAGCCACCCACAGCCCCAGATGACCAGGAGATCACGGGGCCCCAGTGTCCAGCACCCACATGCCCAGTGGGAGGCTCCGTGCCCGCTGCCACACTCACACGGGGACACACGCTGGCGCTCAGATTCTGTGCACAGCCAGACGCACTAGCAGCCTCACGTCCGGACCCCGGATCGCCCCCTCGGAGCCGTCGGGCGGTCATCCAGCCCCCAGCTCCCCGCCGCATGCGCAGACGGACGCAGCCGCCCACGTGCCCACAAGCCCGTCGCCCTGCCCAGGCTGCGCTGTCCTGATCCGAGGGCCTCAGGCCCCTTGGGGAGCTGTGGGAGGGGACACAGGGAAGGACCCGCCTTGGAGGATGAGCTGGGGGCAAGACCCCTTTCTCACGGGCTGGGGAGAAGACGGGGGGCCCCGCAGCCCCCGCGGAGCCTGGCTTCAGAGTCCCCTGAGCACTGCGGGCTGCAAAGGCAGCATCTCACCGCCCTCTGTCCCCAGCTGGCCTTCCGCCCACTGAGCTTCCTGGGGCGATGAGGGTCGTCACCCCGCTGGGGACGTCCTTCCTCAGTGCCCCGCGTGGCATATTCTATGAGCATTAGAAACGGGGCTCCCCCTGGGCAGCCACGGGGCATTTGAGTCAGGATCCTTGGGTGGGGACCATAGGACAGTGCAGCCTTCCAACTGCCAGTGCGGCCCGGGGACACTGAGGCAGTCAGAGGCCCCTCCAGGCTTTCCTGGACAGCAGGTGTGACAGTCCTTGAAATGTCGGACCCCTCGTTGCCAGTTGTGTGGGGGAAACTGAGACCTGGAGGGAGCAGGGGGGGGGAGTCTGGAGCATCTTGGCCATCACTGCCACTGATGGCCGCTCCCTCACCAGGCTGGGGACAGAGTCGGGGAGCGTCTGCTAGAAGTGCATGCGCTGCCTGCAGCCTGCTCCAGAAATTAGCCATGGAACCAAAATCAGCTGTCCCTAGTGTGGTTTGGCACCGCAGTAAAGGACCTCTGGCTGCCAGGTGTTGGGTGGTAAAAATAATCACTCTGAAAGCATCGTTGGTACACACCCCCATCCTTCTGCTCAGGGAGGCATTGCGTATCCTATTTTCTGCACATAAATATAAATATATGTGTGTGCGCGCTCAAAAGTGTCAAGTTCTATACTGAGATACACCCGATCCCACAGAGACGGAGGCTTCTGGATTTTTGCAGTTGGCTTTGCTCTTTCCAAGGGCTGACAGTTGTATCTGAGATGAGCCTCAGGAAGGTTTTGCAAACAGTGGCTCCTTAATTTCTTCCAAGTCCTGTTTCTGTCATCTGTGAAACGAGTTTCCATGAACTTTGCCCAGTTTTCAAGAGAGTGGCAACAGCTGATGGTTCAAAAGTGCTCAGCGGCCAGGCGTGGTGGTGCACGCCTGTGATCCCAGGGCTCTGGAGGCTGAGGCAGGAGGATCGCATGTTTGAGGCCAGCCTCAGCAACTTAGTGAGACCCTGTCTCTAAATAAAAAGTAAAAGTGGGGTTAAGCTTATTGGTTAAGTGACCCCTTGGTATCAAAAAAAAAAAAGTCCTCATCATCATGAACCACCCCTAGTAGGGACTTGATAATGGGCACCTGTTCTTGTGCTCTGATTTAGATGCACACGATGTCACAGTGTCCTTTGTTTTATGTGATGGCTGCTTCTGGGAAAGTCATTCAACTCAAGATCTGAGAAATAACTGAGGCTAATTTTAAAAGTGCATGATGCAGATTTGACAGGGGCCACTTCTTATTTTTTATTTGTCTTTAGACCTCATAGAAAGAGTTAGAAAGGAGTCGAGCCCAGAGATAGAAAGAAAATTTCCCTCTGACCCTAAGGGATCTGAGTTCTCTGATGTAGAACCGACTGGCTGTGTGGACGTATGTGCCTATTAGATCTGTTTTTAAGGAGTTGGTTCACATAATTGTGGGTGTTGGCAAGCCTGAAGTTGGTGGCCCAGGACAGACGCCTGGAAACAGGCAGGAGTGAGGGCTTTGTTCTGTCTTGACATCGAATGTCTTCCTGTCCAGGAAACCTCAGCTATAAGACTTAAGGCCTTCATCTGATTAGACAATGCCCACCCATATCGTCAAGAGCAATTTCCTTTACTTAGAGTCAAATAATTGTAGGTGTTGATCACATCTACACAGTACCTTCATAGCAACATCTAGATGGTGGGACCAAACAGCTGGGCACCTGGGGCCCGCCAAATCAACCCAGAAAATTTACCCATCACACTTTCCAGAAACATCATGGTTATTATATGTCCCTCTGGAGATTTCTATTGATAGTTTTTTTTCCTTACAAAATTGATATTTTGTGATAGGTGAAACTTTATATTCTTGGTTTTTATCCATTGTTGTATCCAATCACATCTTTACCTGGTTAAAATAAGCTTTAGCACCATTACTTTCGATGGCGGCATAGAATCCCACTGCTGGTGTGGCTACGTATTTTACTTGTCTAATCCCTCATTGTTGGACAGCTCTGTTGTTTCCAGTCTTTCACGTGTTAGTTCAACAGAATGAACGTCCTTACTGGTAAGGCTCTGCACGGCTGTAGGGATGCTCTCGCGGTTCCCAGGTGCCATGGGTGCCCACCCAGAGCCCCTTAGTACAGTGACACATCCAGGGGACAAGCAGAGGACATCGTCTCTGAATGTTTGCTAGGAGGTGACTTCTCCTGAGATACCAGTGGCCTCCACATTGGCTACTGTGTGGCTGGCACGTTGCCAGGTCAAATGGCCACACAGGGCGTCCCCCAACACAGCACCCCTTGCAGCCTGAAGGTGCTCAGTCCTCAGTAGGGGATTCCCAAGGTCCCTGAAGCCCAGGAGGAGGGGAGGGACAGGGCCCCTGGCAATCAGGAGGAAGGACAGGCCTTCCGCTTCCTCTGAGCCTCGAATGCTCCACCATCTCCTGATGGGATCAGGAAAGTCCTCCATGGATTGTCACTTCCCCAAAAGGGGCTTGGCCACCGTGAAGGAGGAAATGACACACAGCAACGTGCTGCTGAAGGGAAGAGGGTAAAGTGGCCCAGGAGGAAATTCACCTCAGGGACCCGGATTGTTAGCAAAGATGCCAGCACCCAGAAGAACGTCCTTTCCATTACATGGCACATTGACTGTGAACCGTCCTGTTCAAGAGCAAAAGCTGCAATTGCTCTTTCTGTCTCTGTTTTGACTTGCTGTGTGATCTTAGGCAAGACTCTTGCCCTCTCTGGGCTTCAACTTCCAAGAGCTTCCTCTAGAAGGTGGTTCTCCCATCTAGATCTGACTCCGTCTAGATCTGACTATGCTTTTCCCCTCCTGGTCTTCAGATGGGAGTGCAGTATTCCGAGGCTGCTTCCACCGGCCTGAGAACCTCTCCCTGGCCTTGCCCGTGACGGCCGCCATGCCCAACATGTCTGTGGACAAGTGCGTGGATCTCTGCACAGAGAAGGTGAGCACAGGGTCCCGCTTACCGCCTTCAGCATGGGAGACCGCGGGGCAGAAGAGCTGCAGGAACCAGAGGCAGGGGCCCGGCTGGGATGGACGAGGTGGTGGGCTGTGGTCAGTGACGTAGGAGAGGGTGGTGGTCATTTCCTAGGGACCCAAAGGGGCGGAGCCACACAGGTGGGTCCCTCCCTCTGAGGGAGTGCTTAGGAGTGAGGTGACATTTGCACGGGGCTCAGTAGCCTGAATCGGGGGTTGCCAAACGAGGACAAGCACAGCCCCACTGGGGACGGTGAGTCTCCGTGGCTGCAGGTGGGCCTGCAGAGGCAGAACTCTGGGCCCTGGACCGCCGTGGCCACAGGTCCCTTCTCAGCCTAAGCTTCTCGACGACAGCTGGCTGGGTCCCCTTCCTGCCCTGATCGGGGAGGAAGCTGCACCTCTCACATCCCAGGTCCCCCAGTTCCCAGCACAGAGAGGGACATGTGACCAGCACTTGAGGTGGCCGACGAGCCCCAGCCCTCCCCCAGATGAGCTCATTATGGAGAGTTCGGGGTGCAGTCCCCCCCAGGGCTCAGAGCTCACCCAGATCCTGGCTGCCCCCACCCTGGTCGTCCTGCATGGTCTTGCTCTCCTGGTCCAGGAGCGTTTCTCGGGAAGCCCAGAGGACGCGGCTCTGAGTGTCCTCCTCAGGGCCCTCTCGGGCCACACAGTTCACTGCCCCCCTCTGGCCTACGGGTCGGAAGTTCTCATCCCCATTTCACTGATGAGAAAACTGAGGCCCTGGAGCAGGCGAAGGCCCCCCAAGCTCCTGGTGCGAGTGACCGGGGGCACGGGGTGCACCCCAGGGCCACTCCAGACCCGCAGGCTTGACTTCCAAGCTGCCCTGGCAGCTGCAGAGGGGCCTCCAGAGCCATTCAGAGGGAGCCGGGACACTGGTGGCCGCTGGGCAGAGGCAGCCTGGAAGAGACTCCATGATTGCCTCCTGCTCCCTCCCCGGCCAGGACCCCTCCCCCGTGGCCTCCCCTCCAGGTGGACCCGGCTCGTCCCTGAGCCCTGGGGGAGCCTACAGGGGGGGAGACCCGGCAGAGGTCCCCCAGGACTGGAAGGCCGTGCGGGCGGGGGGTGGGGTGTGGACAGGAAGTCCCCTCCCCCTTGCCTTCTCCCTGTCCTTTTCAGGGGCCAGAGGACAGCACCCGAGGGGGTGAGGCGGGCGGGAGGTGGAGCTGCTGGTGCCAAGTGTGGAGGGTCTGAGATTCAGGGTGACCAAGGGGACCTGCCTGCATGTCACCATCTCTGTCTCCGCTCTCCAGCCAGGGACCACAGTCCCCATGTGACATCTGTTAGAAAGAAGCCACACCTGGTGACGCAGTTTGCTGGGGGTGACTTGGGGTTTGAAACCGGATTATTCCTGGATCAGCCACGACCCAGGACAACTCGGGGCTGCGGTTCTGGTCCAGAAGCAAATTGGACAAGGACAGTCCCAGGTCCATCCTGCTGCCACCTACCCGCTGCAGTACAGTGATCAGAGGTGGCACAGCCCACGCAGGCTCTGAGCTCGCGAGTGTCAGGCTCCTTTCTGGCTTAGGAGCACCGACTCTGACAGCCGTCCCCAAAGCCATCCCCAAAGCAGGGTCTGCGTGTCACCGTCAGACCCAGGGGCACGGACTATGGCATGCAGCGTGACAGAGACATTTCTTTCTGGGTTCTTTCAAGTCCTCCAGGAGAAAGCTTCATCTCAGTGCTGACGGGTCTTTAATACGTCCCTCAACTAATCCCTCTTCTGCAGAAAAAAAGCGCAGCTGACCCCAGGCCGGAGTCTTGGCAGGCGACAGCGCCTGAGTGGCATTTAATTACAGTCCTTCCTCGGTATCTCCAGGGCATGGGCTCCAAGAGGCCCTGCAGAAACCCATGTCCTCAAGGCTGGGGTTCCTTAGGTGAAAAAGTGGAATATCTGCAGAATATCGCACATCTCCCCCAAGCTTTCCCTCATTCCCAGCCGGGCACGGTGTGCACACCTGTAATCCTAGCAGCTAGGGAGGCTGAGGCAGGAGGATTGCAAGTTGAAGGCCAGCCTCAGCAACTTAATGAGGATCTAAGCAGGACCCTGTCTCAAGACAGAAAATAAAAAAGAGCTGGGGATGTGGCTCAGGGTTAAGCTCCCCTGGGTTCAGTCCTTAGCACCAAAAACAGCCCCTCATTTCTGCATGATTCACAATCCTGACACAAGGCCAAGGCTAGGTACTTAATTTTTAACTCCATCGTTCAGGGAATAACAACAAAGAAGAAAAACCACGTGTGCCCGTCATCAACACAGGTGCAAATTCTCCCCACATATTCTTGATGCCCAGCTGGTTGGACCTGCAGATGGGACGAGGGGCGCGGAGGGCCGCCTGGCCTCGTCGTTTCGCAGGATTTGCTGCTTGGGTTTCCAGCTTGGACCCAGGGGGCCTCTCCCAGGGCTCCCTGCAGGAGGGACAGCTCCCTTTAGAATTTAAGTTTCAAAAATCGAGTTGATGAAAGGAATCGAGTCATAATCCGAGGCCCCCAGGCGGGGCGAGGTGGCAGGGCGACCCTGGAGCTTGCTCTCCCCCCGCTGTCCCCAGGAGTTCCCGCTGGCGGCGCTGGCCGGCACCGCGTGCCACTGCGGCTTCCCCACGACACGCTTCCCTCTGCACGAGCGGGAGGACGAGCGGCTGTGCGCGCAGAAGTGCAGCGCCGAGGAGCTGGAGAGCTGCGGCAGCCCCGGCTACTTCGTCGTCTACCAGACGCAGGTCCAAGGTGAGCCGCCCGCGAGACCCCAGGGTGGCCGGGCGCTCCCTCCAACAGAGCATCGGCAGGTGGCAGCCTGGGGGGCAGGGGGCAGGGGCAGGGGACACGGTCACGGGCGAGGCTGGTGAACTTGGGGGACCCAGGTTGGGCGATGGAGGCAGCCCAGGGGGAGGCCTAAGGACCCCACCGCAGTCCCTCGTGGCCAAGGATCTCTGGGGCCCTCCCCCGAGAGTGGAAGCAGCAGGACTGAGTAGAGGGAGCCCGGGCCCTGCCTCCATCACGGACCCACCCTGCGGCCCTGGACAGGGCCTTTCCTCCCCCGGCCTCAGCTTCTCCATCTGTAAAATGAAGCCACAGGTTGCCCACCTCCCGCGTCCTGCTGCACTAGACCCCTGGACGCTTTAGGTTCTTCCTCCTCCAGCGCCTTCTCTCTCCCTCTTACCATTCCCACCTCCAACGCTTTTGCTCCAATAGTGGGGCTCACACTGTCTGCCTGGGGCACCAGGTGTGGAGGTGAGAGGGTGAAGATGCTGATGGCCATGAGAATGGTGGTGATGGTGATGGTGGTGGTGGTGGTGATGGTGGTGGCAGTGATGGTAGTGGTGGTGAGGTGGTGGTGGTAGTGATGGTGATGGTGATGGTAATGGTAATGGTGATGGTGATCGTGGTGATAGTGGTGGTGGTGGTGGTGATGATGGTGATGGTGATGGTGTTGGTGTTGTTGGTGGTGATGGTGGTGATGGTGGTGATGTTGATGATGATGGTGATGGTGATGGTGTTGGTGGTGATGGTGGTGGTGGTG